GCTTTTTAAATTTTGGAATGAAAGCTACATGCTGTAGGCTAGTTTTAATTTCCATTATTAAATCAACATTAACATATGAAAATATAAAACACTTTAAAATAATCTCTAATGTTACGCTGTCATTAACCCCATTTTCTATCAGCTTTTCTATGGAACACCACTTTCAGGAGTTTATTTTTAAACACCCAGTTTGTAGGACCCATTTTCTCCTCTATCATCACACATCACTAAAGGCCTGGGTAAACACAGAGAAAAGATCCAGCTCAAACTGGCCTCTGTAAATTTCCTGGAATTGATGCTTCCTGATATTATGGGACGCAACTATGATCTCTTTCAGGACACCTCAGACAAAAATCTCACAGACCTGTTTTCCATTTCACAATAACCTCTCCATTTCCTAATCAGTGATCTCATCTTGTCGCCATTTTATAGTCTCTTACTTTTTCAAAAAAATACAAAAGTGGGAATTTACGTACTTTATTATTTAGAAGCTCACCAGTTAGTGTCACACTTGATTTTTCTTATGCCTATCCTTCTTCCCTAACGGTATTAAATTTTGCAGTTCCAACTAAAGATCATCAACTTATTTAAGCTGAAAGGACTTGGAAGTTAACTAACCTGAGTCAGTTATTTCTGCATTCAGAGAGGTTCAGGTGTCTTCTGATTGATGATCATTCTTGAGAATTTTAATTTTATCAATTTTGCTTAATAAGTAATACAGAATCACAGCTATATTAATGAAATTCATGTCAAATGAATCAAAAATTTTCCTTATTCACAAACCTCTGTGTTCTATGCAAAAGTAAATAAGTTGATGGGACCTATTCAAAATACAGAAGTGTAGAAACTGGTCACAAAAATTATTCTTCCTGGGGATAGGAAGGGCAATAGTTTAGAGCAGTAAGAACTGTGATTGTTAGCAGTGAGGCCTAAGAAAGTCAAACAGTCCAAATGTGTAATAGGGGCAAGTTGTTGCCCTATCTGAGACTTAGGTTCCACATGTGTAAAATGAGGATAATAATGCCTAAGCATAGTATAAAGTTATATAATATACATAAAAAGTCTATCATTATAATAAAAGGCTTAAACAAATATGTTCTATCATTGTTATAATTACTAGAGTAATAATTCCCATTTGTCAATCATTCAATAAATACACACTGAACAGTGCAATCACAGATGAAACACCTGAAGTCCTAGAGTTTTATCTTTATCTGCTTAAAGAACAAAAATAACACCTACTACCTTCTTCCCCCCAAACACACTTAAGATGTTAAAAAGTAAATAGTGTGCCTGTTTTCCTGAAATACAAATTGAAATAAGAGCAAACACAAGTTGTTCATATATTGACCACCATGATGTATCTTTACATCTTCAAAAGGTACCACAACTTTGGAGAATATGGTAAGGGTAGAAAACCTATCCATATTTCATTTTTATTAGACCAGGAAAGGACTGGAGGAAATAATTTGGGACGAACCTGCACTAAAATTTCTCCCCACTTACTAACAGTATACTATGAGCATGTATTATAAGCTTACAGGAAGGCTATTGTGTTTTCATCAATATGTAAACTGTATTTTACTACAGATGTCTCCCTGCTATAGTGATATCTGGAAGGTGATATAGAGTGTGGTGTTGATCATTGTTGACATGTTCTTAAAATAGTACTAATAGAGTACTTAAAACAGTATTCAAGACAATGCCAAAGGACACTTCCCAAAGTGTGTAACAGGTTAGTAGGTTTTCACCCATTGTGCAATTGCAAGACCAAACAGCCTTCTGGTCAAACAAGAATGGGATTTACTGAACAAACAGGTGATATGGGAAAAGAGTTTCTATGACTAGAAATGTTCAGCTGTCTTACTCCACATAGTGTCTGCAATGTCCAGAAGTCCCAAAGCCCTCTTGTGGAAGATGAGGTGACATTGTAGTAGTCCAAAGCCATAGTCTGAAGGCTGGACCCGAGGCCAGACCGGACAGAAACAGACAGGACGTCACCACACTGAGCAACACAATCATTGTCCTTAAGTCTCAGAGCTCAGACTGTAAATGGACCAATCAGATTTGAGCCCAGTGAACCTAGCCTGCTCAAGTTCAATGGGCCAATAACCAATTTGGTTAAGCAGAATGCTGGTGGTGCCAGAGAACCAGAAGCTGTGGTTTGCTCTTTGTGAGCTGTCGGCATACAACAATAATGAACAACTGTTTGTAGCCCTCCTCTTTACTGTGCTGATGTACTGTTTCTGACAGTCTTAGTGAAGTCTAGGATTTTCTACATGTAGTTTGTCATTTTTAATAATGATACTTATTCCATTCCAGTTTGTATTCCTCTTATATCTTTTTATTGCCTAATTGCTCTATGTAGGAATTCCAATAAAACATTAAGTAATAGTGGTGAAAATTGATATTCTTTTTTTGTTCCTGCTGTTAGAGGAAAAGCTTTTAATTTTTCATTTGATATTAACTATGGGTTTGTTATACATGGTATATGTTGTTGTCTTTTTTTTTTTACTTGTTTTGAAAGATTTATTATTTATGCACAGAAGAACTGAGGCATAGGTCAAAGGTGCAGTTATTAAGAGGATTCACCAGACAAGACAAAGTGGAGAACAGAACAGGAGAATTTACTGAAATATACTGTTAAGGGGAGCAGCTGATGAGACAGGAGAGAGCTGCTGTGCTTTCTGTGGGTTAGTTCCCTGGCAGGAATTGAACTCAAGACTGTAGAGGTGATAGCACTGAGATTTAACCCATAGGGCTCCAGAGAGATTCTATTGAATCTGTTATATTGGGGTATGTTCTTTCTGATTTTTATCATAAATGGATGTTGAATTTGTTGAATGCTTGTTTGTTATAATTATGTTGTATTCTCTAGTTTATTGATGTGGTGTGTTACATTATAATTTCCTTGTATTTATTTCTGTAGATTAGGTCAAACTGTCTTCTTTCCCAGTCCTGTGTTAGAAATAAAGATTGCAAGATATTGTCTAGGGTATGGCTTTGGATTCTGAGTTTTCATTTGTTGTCTAGGATAAACTCATTTCACCAATAAGGAAATGAGAGATCAAGACCCAGTGCAGGATTGTTGTCCAGGAATCCAGGCTACATGGTGGGGGCTGGGAAAGAAGGAAGCACAGAGATTGCTGCTATAGAACGCCAAGGACATAGGCCACCCTGGGAGTTGCAAATGACTAAACTGAGCGTGGAATCTACAGTCACCTTAGTTCTAGGCTGCTCCTTTCCCAGAAGCCTCAAACTGTTACTGATTCATTAGCTGCAACCTAGCTAACAATCCCATTACCAGGCAGGCTGTCTGGAAGCCTTCTGAGTTTAGGCAAGTCCAGGATTGGAGCTGTGACCTATCCCCACTCCCAGCAAGTTTTGCTTACAGAGTTTTTCCTTTGTGCTCTCTTGGGTACATAGAAAAATACACACAAGTAAGTCCCATAGTATCTTGGCAGGGGAGGGGCAGGTGTTCCTCAGACTGCTAGAGATAGCTGAAAGCAAGTCCAGACAGAAGCTGTAACCATAACCCGTTTCCAGGAAGCTTTGCAGATAATTTTCCCTGAAAGATATGTGTTTCATTTTTTAAGGTGTAATATTAGCAATTTTTTATTGATAATCCTTAACATTAGCCTTTTATACTCTCACAAGTTGTTTTATATTGGAATTCCTGAGCTAGCCGACAATCATATGTTTTAATTTCTGATTAAGGCAATAATAATTAATAGGCTAAAGAATAAAATTTCAAGTGGGGAAAGAACAGAAGGGACTATTGTAATGGAGTACTGGTGCTTTTGTGGTGGGAGAACTACAGTGACCACACCTAAGAGGATAAATCATATAGTGTTCAAAATTTAACAATGATGTAAGAAAAATTATCACGCTTAGAAAAAAACTTAAGAAAATAAAATATATAATTTCAAATAATTGAATTGTGCTAATTATTCTCCCTACTTTTGATATAAGCCTATAATTATTCTGTTTGTTTAAGAATTCAGTCTTTTTGTTGTTCTATGAAGATTAAAGTCTCTTTGATTGCAATTTACATTCTGCTATGGAAGATGATACTTCAATGAGTGGGAAAATATTAACAAAGACTTATGAATAATTTAACAAGTAACTGTATCAATTTGAAGCAAAAGCTTCTTGGGTTTTGTGCTTTATCACATGCTTGCATACTCACTAACATCAGAAGGGAAGGAAGAGCAAGAAAAAGTGCTAGACAGAACAGGGCAGTTTCCTAATAATCCAGACTGTCCAACTCGGTTTTTTCATTCAAAGAAGAATTTGTGGAGAACTTGCCCTTTTGTATTCTGTGGGGGCTGTATGCAAGCAGGTCTTCAGTTCTTCAGTCTTGCTTCCATTGTGGCTTTAAATGCCTTTCCTCAGCCCTCACCGTTATGTACTTGGGGCTCATATCTGTCATGATGTATTTTTCTTTACTTCTACTATATAGTATGCCCTCATTACAAGCTGAGCTGAACTGTTTTTGGCTACCAGTCTTCTCTGTCAGACTACATATAGGCAACTCCCTGATGGCTCTCCATGGCTTTATAAGCTCTGACTGTAGCATCTGTCATTTCCTTGTTCCAGCTGTGCAGTCCACCTAACCCTACTTAACCACTTTTAACTAGGACTTCACAGAAATAGCACCAGTGAAAGATACGTGTCAATTGTTTGAAACTTCAAACTGATTTTGATTTCCTCTTAATTATTTTAAATGTGATATGTATTTAAATTAAGATTAGCAGAGAAAAAATGATTTGGGAAAATGATGTTATCTTAGCTTTTTTCATTGACTCTAACATAATTAAGAAATTTGACTGTCAGATTTGATTAGTATTGTTGAACAGCCATCATTCCCAGAGTGTCTAGAGCTAAATTTTCAGTTAGTAGGAGAGGTTGAAATCACTGAAGAATCCAGTAACCATAAGAAACAACTACACTCAATATATTGCTGACCTCCTGTATTGCCTCTCTCTTCTATTTGTCAGGTACAACGTGTCTGATTGCTCTACTATCAGATAAAGACCTCACTGTGGCAAATGTGGGTGATTCTCGTGGGGTCCTATGTGACAAGGATGGAAATGCCATTCCTTTGTCTCATGACCACAAGCCTTACCAACTGAAGGAAAGAAAGAGAATAAAGAGAGCTGGTGAGTTTGCAAATGCCTCTGAGGATTTTCAGCCATTTTGTTTGATAAACAAGGTGGCTTGTCTGGCTGGTCCTTTGGCAGTGAGATACTCATATAACCTGCTGGAAAATAGAGGCTACTATTGAGGTAGCTGAGATTTGACTTTATCAGTTTCCTTTCAGATAAATGATCACTGAATTTGCTCTTTCTTATGGCTAAAGACTACAAAAAGGCCAAAAATAATCCTTTTATAGAAAATGCAAAGGCTAGTTAGATCTTTGAAACCATCTTCTGCCTCATTTTGCATCTCTTCTTACATTGTTTCTCCCCAACCACACTAAACTACTAACTGTTCTCCAAACAACACTCCCTAGTTTCTTATACCTCTCTGCCTGTGTTGGTACTGCCTAATGGGTAGCAATTACTTGTCTTTAAGACTCAGTTTAAGGGTCTCCTTTTGGAAACCTTTCCAGTCACACTGATGACCCCCACCCCCTCCTTCCCTTTCCTTTCTCCCCTCCTCACCCCACCCTTCTTTGGGTTAGATATCCCTTTTGTCATTCCCCAGAATCTAGTTTGGACCTTTGGGACCTTTTACTATGTATGGACAGATATACCTACCTCACTTATATTTATTGCCTTCACAAACTGTGAGCTCTCTGAGGAGAGGAATTTAGTTTTGGTATCTTCTATATTCCCAATTCTTAGCTCAGTACCTTGCATAACTACATATTTCAGGTGGAGGGGGGTAATCCCTTTTTCATTTTTTTTTTTTTAACATCTATAGGATAGGGTATTTTTGGAATGGGTGGGAAACAGAATGGATGTTAATAAGTACAAATAATTGTCTAGCATTTTACCTGGTAGCGATAATACTAGATAAGATAATTACTATAAGGAGAAACAAAGCAGGTAAAAGAATTACTGTTTATTTAACCTAAGAAACATTTCAGCATTCTAAATAAAAAAACCAGTATTTTGCAAATTGTATTTACTACAGAAAGTTCTTGAACTTTCATTTATGTAACAACTCTTTACTTTGCTGACAAGAGTTCTAGAGTTTGTTAAAAAGCAAAGTTTAAAACTACTTCACTGAACTAAAAAAAAAAAAATACAAATACTTCTCATGCCAGATTCCTCCTTTCCCACTGCTAAAAAAGGCAATAGAAAGCTATATCACTATATATAAAAATCAAAACAATCAAAGCTAAATGGGTGCCCACTCTAGTATTCACAGGTCAAGAAGGGGCTTGTAATTTTAAATAGGGTGGTCAGTAGGCTTCACTGAGGTGACACTGGGGCAAAGACTGAAAAGGAGATTATCAATTAATTATTATGTATTAATAATACTTCAGTTTGGGAGGATTCATTTCGATCTGCAGAAGGGGGATTTCTTCCCCTCCATACACTGACAACTGTATGATATACAAGGCAGCAGGTGCTTATATATTTTGGCTGTATGACCAGGATGTGTGTCTGGAGTAATCTCAGGCAGAATCTTAACCTCTATAAGTAAACTTCTTCCCAGACCCTAAACAACATCTAAATTTTCACATCAGGAAACTCAGCTGAAAAAAAAAAAAAGGTGTTGAATTTTATTACAGTTACTGATCGAAAAGCAAACATTTTTTTAAAAAGATTTATTTATTTATTCATACAGAACTGGGGTACAGGCCAGAGATGCGGAGGGTGCAAGGATTCACCAGGGACAGAATGGGGAGCAGAACAGGCAGATCTACGAAGTACACTGCTGAGGGGAGCAGCGGGCCGGTCAGGAGAGGTCTGCACGCCATGTGGATCTCCTCCGGGGCAGAGGGATATCAAACTCATGCAGAAGTGGCTTAAGCTTCTTAGTACAGTGTTTTAACCTGCTGTGCCACCAGGGAGGGCCGCAAAACAATTTTTAATGAAAACTTTGGTCAGGTTTTCTATTGATAAGCTAGAAGGTATAGGTATTTCAAGAGTATCAAGTTTTGATGATCTATAGGCAGTGTGAGTAAAATACCCTCACTTCTTAAGAAGATACTATTTCCCCAGGAGTATGTTATGGCCCCAAACTGGAGATGCAGTTAGCTTACTCTCTTGTAAACATGGATGTGTGTACAAGGAAGTGTCACTCTTGCATCCAGTCCTCATTACTAAAATGTCACTCCTACATTACACTTCTTCTGCCAACCATATCCACCATCTACTCTCCTGCCCTACAGTGATTATTTATAAAAGCAAAAATGAGAACCATCTCCATTAAACTGCTCATTAAGAGTGTATTATTACAAGGCTTAAGAGGGACAGTGAGTGGTTTCATTGCTTTATGTGTGTTTTCTCTGGCCCCAGCCTTCTTTTCAAAACATCTTTCCTCTCCCTCCTACTTAGCACACTGTAACCAGTCTGGCCCAATGCTACAATGTTGCCAAACTCCTTATTCTGTTTCCAACAAAAAGCATCATTAGCTGTCAATGATGCTGAGTTCACTTAGTGCTGGGAACCAAGCCTAGTGTTTTGCATATGCTTTCTCTTTACTTGCCTTATGTCAACATATTATACTCATTTCACAAACACGGAAGTGGATCCTGAAAGATGTTGTGTGCTCAAGGCCACACAGCCAATAAATGGTCAAGCCAGAATTACCCAGGACTGTCTGATTGAAGCCTATGCAGTTTTAGCACTCTTTTTTTTATTTTAAAATGTATTTTTATTTATTTTTTACATCATTCTTCATTTTGTGCATTTTTTCATTTCCGTTGTAAACTTCTTGGGCTTCCCGCCACCAGTTCATCCCTGTACCATCACTCTAGATCCATGAGCTATTCCCACCCCAGTTTTGATCCAGTTCCCCTCTCCACCCCCGTAAAATGTCTCTGGTTTATAGCTGTTAGTTGTTTTTCTTTTTTTACTGTGTATTACAATTGCTTTTATTTTTCCCTGATCCCTTACGCTCCTCCTATTAGTGAAACCATCGATATTTTCTTTTTCTTTCTGGCTTATTTCAGTAAGCATGATCCCTTCCACCTCCATCCATGTTGCTGCAAAAGGCATGTGTTTATCTTTTTTGATTGAGGAGTAATATTTCATTGTGTATATGTACCACATCTTTTTACTATAGTCATCTATTTTGGAGTATTTGGGTTGATTCCACATCTCCCATAAAAATAGGGCAGCAATAAACATGGGATGCATGTGTCCTTTTGAATCAATGTTTTTGTGTCCTTTGGGTAGATTTTTAGCACTCTTTTACCAACTCTCCTTGAGCCCCCACCCCTTTGATCACTCAGCTGCCAAGAAACTAAGTTAAAACCAACACCCTCACCCACACATAGCTTCCACTCCCGATTTTCTTATGATATATTCTTGAAAGTCTTTAAGATGCCAAGGATAAGGTCATCACGGCCTACTGTCAAACCTTAAGCCATACAGCAAGAATGCTGCTCCTCCCTTGAAGTGTCAAAGTGCTGTGAGAGAAACCCATGCTATATGGATCAGCCTTTTTTGCACATAGCCAGACTTTGCCAGGTGTGTGAGATAGCAGCTGGTAAAGCTAATGAATTCATTCTGTCTTTTCCAGGTGGTTTCATCAGTTTTAATGGCTCCTGGAGGGTCCAAGGAATCCTGGCTATGTCTCGGTCCCTGGGGGATTATCCACTGAAAAATCTCAACGTGGTCATCCCAGATCCAGATATCCTGACCTTTGACCTAGACAAGCTCCAGCCCGAGTTTATGATCTTGGCATCAGATGGCCTTTGGGATGCTTTCAGCAATGAAGAAGCTGTTCGATTTATCAAGGAGCGCTTGGATGAACCTCACTTTGGAGCCAAGAGCATAGTTCTACAGTCATTTTACAGAGGCTGCCCTGATAATATAACAGTCATGGTAGTGAAGTTTAGGAATAGCAGCAAAACAGATGAGCAGTGAACCTTCATGGCCTCAGCTGCTTTCAACTAAAGGACTTTCAGTATATTTGGTCTCTTTTAATGCAGTGAAGTGGGAGTTACAGTTAGCAACATCCACCCCAGACATAGGATTACCCCTCCCTAGTGGTTTTAGGCCTATATTCTGTGATCAACAGAGAGTGCTCTTGGCCAGTATAGTTGAGATGCTGGAAAAGGTTTCTTCATGTTTTCCCAACTCTTTCATTCAATGTTCAATATGTATAGAAGTATATAGCGTAGATTCACATGTATGAAGTGAATGGCCTGTGTGCCATAGTTTCCCTTAAAGGTCCTTTTCAAGACCCCAGCAGAGCCCCCTGGCCTCACAGTGTATGCCCTGTCTTTAGAGCAGCAAGCAGGACACATCTCCCAGGGGCTGCAGGGGACATACCTTATGATTAAGGGCCCAAGGGGCAAAGCTGTTTGCCAAGAGCAGAGCTGTCCTGAAATTTCATCCACATGAACTCAGGTCCTCTGCTAAGTAGCAGCCCAGAAACAGATTTGAAATGGTTTCTTATTCAATGGCTACTCTTGAAGACTGAGGGAGTACAGCAGAAATAAACATTTTCCCTCACACCCTTTATTACCTCTACCACCTGACGAGTCCTCATACATTTCCCCTAACTGTGCTTGACTTTAACTTTTTGCTTACACCTTACCTTATGTAATTGGTAGTCTTTAAACTTTACCACCAGATATCAGTTAGGGTAAATGAAAAAGGCTAACTAGAGTGTCATAGTTCCTCCATCTTTAAGGATAGGTAGAGAAAAAGAATGGCTGATTAAATCATAGTGCCCTTAAGGAAGTCTGCTATTTAGGAAAGAAATCTAGTGAGTTTTCCAGCTGCACTGAACTCTAGCTGCCAGTTTAATGCAGTCTTGTTTTTGTTTGATTTCTTCCCCCCTCTTCTACCCTAGTAGCTTTCTAGTAACTTTCATGCAGTGTTGTAAGGATCAGCAGTCAGAAATTAATGTGTGTTCCTTGAAGCCTCCTACAGAGTTCTCAGCCAGAGTTTGGAATATGGTGATAAACTGCTAGAATGTGTGCACCCAGCATCCATTAACTTGAAAATCATCATCCATATTGGTAACTTTCTCCAGGCAAAGTTGCCAGCTTTGTCCCAGATATAGCCCACCTTTCCAACAACAAAGTTGGTTTGGCATTCACTTTATTGTTAAGCAACAGCCCAGAATTATTTGGGGTTAGGCTTGCTGTTCTTCTTTTCCTAGCCCAACGTCTTGTTTCTAATCTCAGTATTTCCAGTCTCAATTTACAGAAAATACTAAGTTATCCTGTTTTACTGAGCGAAGTGACTCAAAAAGCCTATCAAGATTTTCATGCACCCCACGCCTCTGTATCTGAAAGGCCAGGGTGTAACCTGTTTTTTGTTCTTTCTGAGTGGGCACTTGTCGTTATAGCCTCTTGAAGGACCCACTCACTGGCTACTTCTCCCTTCACTGTCCCTGCCCTGCTCTGTGATGCTTCCCCAAAACAGCCTCTAGGAGAAAACTAGGGAGGGTGGAAAGGTTACAACTATCACCATCCTCTAAGCACTTAGTTTTCTTTCACTGCCTTGAGAAGACTAATGGTTTCCCAAGGGATTTGCTTACTTTTTAAATTCTAATAATAGCATTTTCAACATTAGAGTTAGAACCCTGGGGTTTGTTTTGTTTTTACCATAGAATGTGGTCTAGTCCAAATATCTACCACCAATTTAGATCAAGTAGACATTGAAAATTTCCGTGTTCCTAGTTGAGGTGGATATCAGAAAAGAATGTGGGAAACATTCTATTTGTGGTCAGTGAGGGAAGCTCAGGTGGCCTGAGTTTGCTTGGAGATTTAAGACATTCTGACTTGAGTTGGCAAAGCCTACTGTCTAGCTGAAGTTCAATTTTAAGTGGTACACAATGTTTAAGTAGTACACAAAGCTTTATGGTACACAATGTTCCTTTGTTATTTTTAGTTAAACCCTAAAATTGATATTAACAAGGGAAATGTATTTTAAATTCCTTGATCATGGGTATTGTCTAAATGGTACTGTTTTGTTGAGATGAAAAAGAAAAGCTATTAGATTAGTAAATTAGAGTCCATTTACCCTGCAGATGATGAGTAGATGGCACTGAGTGCAGAGGTGCATGACTTTCCCTCTGTTTGAGGTTATAAAGCATTTACTAAATTTTGCTTTAATTAATTTATTAATTGATTGATTGATTTCTGACTTTAACCAAGTGGTATATTTTCTACTCCCTTCCTGCCTTTTCTCTTCCTGCTTTGGCTTATAGGTTTTTAAGGAATAGATGTTCTAGACAAAGTAGTTATAGTTTGATTAATAATCATGTCTAAAATCAGAACTTGTGCCCTACCCTTGTCCTCCTGGAATTCTCTCCCCCAGCTATAAGGGTGCACAGGTATCACCTACAGGGGTTCCTGTGGCTCACCAGCTGCTCCTTTAGTCTAGGGGCAGGGAGATTGAATCTAGTTATTGGGGAAGTTGACTTGAGAATTCAGCATGGGAAGCTTCCCTGAACAGTGCTACCAAAGCTTTGGAATTGTTACCAGAGGCTGCCCAGACTCCCTAATCTGAGTTCATATTGCCAATAGCCTCCATGGTGCCAAATCTGGGGATGGTTTTACAGCTTTTTAGATACAAAGTTGGGAAGGAAGCTGGGAAGAAGAGCCATGAACTTATGAGCTCCCAGCAAGAAGCCAAGCCCAGGCCCTTAAAATGCACTGCTTGCTGATCTAGTGGTAATTTGTAATCTTAAAATGGATGGGATTAGGGGTGGGGGGAATAGGCAGGGAATTTTGTTTTTTAATTTATTGTACTTGTGATTCTCTAATCAAAGGAATAAACAATAATTACATAGACAAATCCAAAGCTAGTTCCCAAGTCCTGCACTTATTTTGTGTGGCCATCTTTCCCAAGGCACTACATGCTGAAGTCACTGTCATAACACAAAATGGCTGGACACTTACATGCATATTACTGTAACCAGTGGCTGCATTATATTCTTGTTATGGACTGAAGGTATTGGTTTCTTGAATCTTGAATAGGTAGTAAGTATTACAGAAAATGTTATAAAATACTATATAAAGTATACAGGTACATATGTAAACTGAATAATTTTAAAAGCCCTTATTTCATACAGTTATAATGATTTCAACCCACATACATTTTAACCAAACAGAATTACATGGGAATTATGGCATCATCATATCCAATATGGCTGAAGTGATTTTAGGAAATTAATTACTGTGTTGGGTTGGATTGGAGGTCTGTGAATACATATGGAATACATTCACAAATGGAATAATTACTTTTTCTTTTGCTAGATATATTGTGGTATTCTTGATGTTCCCCCTGAATTGTTACAAGCTATAACTTTCTTGCAGCTGTAACAATGCATGCTATTATACATTTAAATGTATAATGGTTTTATTTTCAATTATTTCAGAATATTTTTCTCATATGACCCATTAGTAAACTGATCTTCCCTTAATAATCTCCCCAAATTGCATCATTTTGTCACCCAACATTCCTGATCCAGTGCTGCAGATATAGCCTTACTGTTAGATAGCATGCGTATTTATTTGCATTTGGATCAAACTGTTGGTATCTAGATTTTGAGGCAATTAGCTGAACAATGCAGGAGTGATACAATCTAATGATCCTCACAATGTGTTCCACAGAATAAAATTTCAAAGATGCTCTTTCAAATAAAGGATTTCAGGGCCAAGAAACATATACTATCTTAGAAAGTTAATTCATATATGCACATGGAAGGCTATTTATTCAAATGTACTGATTGAGGGGCTGGGGAAGGGATACACATATATAATTTAAATGATTTTGGTATTTTTCACATTAATTTGAACACAAGAAACATTTTTTAAAATAATATAATAGTTTATTTTTACATCATTTTGTGCATTTTTCCATTTCAGTTATAATCCCCTTGGGCTACCCATCACCAAATCACCCATGTGCCATCACCAAAGTCCAGTGTATTTCCTTCCCCCCACTGTTTCTGATCCCATTCCTCACTCCACCCCCATAAATTGTCTCTGGTATATAACTGTTCATTATTATTATTTTCTCGCGTGATCCGTTATACTCCTGCTATGAGTAAAACCATTCGGTATTTTTCCTTTTCTTTCTGGCGTAGTTCACTAAACATGATCTTTTCCAGCTCCATCCATATTGCTGCAAAGGAAGTGTGGGTTTTTTTTTTTTGGTTGCTGAGTAATATTCCATTGTGTATATGTACCATATCTTTTTGATCCAGTCGTCCGCTTTTGGGCATTTGGACTGTTTCAATGTCTTTCCAATTGTAAATAATGCAGCAATAAACATGGGGATGCAAGTATCTTTTTGAATCAGTGTTTTTGTGTCTTTTGGGTATATACCAAGGAATGGGATTTCTGGGTCATTTGGAAGTTCCATGTTTAGCAATTTGAGGAACCTCCAAACAGTTTTCCATGGTGGTTGTACTAGTTTGCATTCCCACCAGCAGTGCAGGAGAGTCCCTTTTTCTCCACATCCTCACCAGCATTTGTTGTTGCTAGTTGTTTGAAGATGTGCCATTCTCACTGGGGTGAGGTGGTATCTCATTGTGGTTTTAATTTGCATCTCCCTTATTACGAGTGATGTTGAACATTTTTTCATATGCTTGTTGGCCAGCTGTATTTCCTCCTTGGAGAAGTGTCTTTGTAGCTCATCTGCCCGTTTTTTGATGGGGTTGTTTACTTCCTTTTTGTTGAGTTTCATCAGTTCTTTGTATATCTTTGTGATCAATCCTTTATCACTAGTTTTGTGTGAGAAAATTTTTTCCCAATGAGTGACATTTGTTTGTCCTTTGTAATGTCTCTTTTGCTGTACAGAAGTCCTTTAATTGGTGTAGTCCCATCTATTTATCCTTACCTTCACTATCATTGCATTGGGTGCTCTATCTTTTAAGATGTCACTGAAGTGTATGTCATGTAGTGTTCGGCCCATCTTTGTTTCCAGGTATTTTATGGCTTCCATTCTTATGTCTAGGTCTTTAATCCACTTTGAGTTGATTTTTGTGAATGAAGTGAGGTAGTGATCCAGTTTCATTTTTTGCATGTAGCTTCCCAGTTTTCCCAGCACCATTTGTATCTTATTTGCTCCTTTGTCAAAGATTAGCTGCCCATACATAAACCTGTGGGTTTATATCTGGGTTTTCTATTCAAATCCACTGGTCTGTATGTCTGTTCTTGTTCCAGTACCACACAGTTTTGATTATTATGACTTTGTAGTATAGCTTGAAGTTTGGGATTATGATGCCTCCAATCTCTTTCTTCCTAGTCATGAGAGTTTTGGCTATTCAAGGTCTTTCGTTATTCCATATGAATCTCATCAATATTTTTTCTATTTCTTTGAAGAATGTCATTGAGACTTTTATGGGATGGTGTTAAATCTGAATATTGCTTTTGGTAGGATGGCCATTTTGATGATGTTAATTCTCCCAATCCATGAGCAGTGGATGTCTTTCCAATTCATGGTGTCTTCTTGAATTGCTTTTAATAGGAACACATTTTTGAGTAATATCTCCAAGGAGCTCAGTGTTCCATGGAACTCAGGAATATTCTGACAGAAGGAAATATTGCTGTGTTCTCTGTCAGTCTCTATCACTCTCATTCTTAGTAGTACTAGTACACTTTATAATTCAGAAATAGTAATCATTTCAAATAAGAAACTGATTTGCTCATGAAAACAGTGTTAGGAAATAGTATAATTTAATATGCCTACCAGAAACCTCACATTGGTGGCAGAAGTCCATCAATTCTATTTAAAGCTCTACCATCACCACCTACCTTTCATATAAATAAGAACAAGAACCTTGCCATAGTGAGGCATTTCTCAGATTCCTTCAAGAGCTTTTGCTTGCTTTCTTGAATTTACCTTTCCTTTCAGATTGAACCAAAATAAATAGTAAAAGAAAAAGATGGAAAAGTTAAAGTCTTATTTACTCTTAATTCACTTTAAAAATTTTAGCTAGATTTTTAAAATTAATTATTCACAGCATAATAGAAATGTAAACTGTGAATACCTGTTCACTCTCTTTCCTCTGTCATTCTTTTCAGATCAATGAAATAATTTAAAATCAGTTAGAACTCAAAAATCCTATTCCACACTGTCCCACTTTCATTTGTGTGTGAAATTAAGTTTGTCAAGTTATGTCTTACCTAAAATGTAAAGTTTATGACAATTCCAAACTCATCACTCAGCATGGGCAATGTGTTTGGGGAGTTCTGAGTATCCCAAAATAAAAATAAATCTAGATGAGAACATGGTGCGAAGTGAATTTAAAGTAAGTTATTTTAGAGTTAAAGTTAAATCTAATAATCAGACTAATAATTAGTTAAAGTTAAGTCTAATAATTAGACTATTAGTTAAGTCTAATATTAATATCCCCCTCTAAGTGTTCTCTAAAATAGTGAAAAACTACAAGTAAAATCACTGAGACTAGATGCAGATTTCAAGGAACAAGTGACAGTTGCTACTAGAAGACTTCCACTAGATATGTACATCTAAACATGTTTTCTTATATGTAACTTACTTTTGCTAATTCTTAATGTTGAAGTTTTATTCACTATTTGTATTTTTACCACTGTTAGGTTAAAATTGTTAACCAAGGGCTGATTATAATTTTTATGTATTTGCTAATAACACACCATTTTAATAAATCCAAGTTAAGGACTGTTCATTTAGCAGTTATCATAAGCATTTCCACTATTTTAAACTCCACCATAAAGCAAAATTGTAGATTGTATTTAAAAAGGTGGTTCCAAGTATTCTAGAAGTTCTATAAATCGGCATTATTTAGCTATAAATCCCCTTTCAAATTTATCAAATTAAAATTAATCTGGAAACTGCCAAGGACCCTGCACACAGATTACTGTGAAGACTTTCATGGCAGATAATGACGAGTAAGTGTTCCATTGACAGGACGGTCTACCCCAGTCATTTAATGGCTGTCCCTTTAAGAGAGAAACACTGTATCATCCACCACTCCCATCACCTTTTGTCATGAGGTGATGCAGAAATTAAATGCAATGCCATAGTCTCAAAATATGCCTGTTAATTATACAGTACATAATTTTAAAATGTGTTCATGTATAGCAAAGGTAGAAATAAAGGTCAAGGAACTGGGGGAAAGGAGACTCCTTAGGATACCCATATGTTAAGTGTGTAAAAAGGTTATCAAAAATGTGGAATATCAGACTTTTGCTATGCAAATGTTCTACTTAATGGTGATTTCTGTCATGTGCATGTAGGTCAGTAAAAGGCAGCTGTTTCTACTTTTTACCTTTTCAGATGCAAGATTTCCCATTTAAAGTAATGGCTAATGTTTCCTTAAGAATTAATAAAAATAATTTTAAAGCTTCTTTTTCATAAAACTGATGGCATGGGCAGAATCACATTTAAGAAAAATCGTTTGGAACATTTTTAATTAAAAATAAATTAATTTTCAATGTGTCAAAGTCATAATGTAAAGAAAAACATTTTTAAAAAATACAAGACAGGCCCTCCCTGGTGGCGCAGCGGGTTAAAGCACAACACTAAGAAGCTAAAGCCACTTCCGCATGAGTTCAATTCCCGCCTGCCCGGGAGGTGACCACATGGCAGGGCAGACCTCCCCTGGCCCGCCTGCTGCTCCCCTCAGCAGTGTACTTCGTTGATCTGCCTGTTCTGCTCCCCACTCTGTCTCTGGTGAAACCTCTCACCACCCCTGAGTCTCTGGCCTATACCCCAGTTCTGTATGCACAAATAAATAAATCTTTAAAATAAAATACTTTTAAAAAATACAAGACAAATTCAAAGAATAATAATAAAAATGGAATATTTTAAGGAAAGGAGTTTTTATAATTTATTACATTATAAATCATGCTAACTGATACCTGTGTTCTTTCTAAAGTAGGAAAATGAACATTCTGAGTCATCTGTAATGATAGCAAAATTACAGTCTCTATTCCATTATTTTCAATGCAAATGGGGATGTAAAAAAAAGAAAGAAAATGGGGACATGGTTTTATATATTTCTATCCTAAGCCACCGTTAGTGTTCTAGGTTCTTTTCATCCTAAAATCCTAAACATGGTTTTACCCTGATACCTTAGAAGCTTTTTTTTCTTTTTCATTTTTAAAGAGGGAAATATACCCTTTTGAGAATGCAGAAAAATAATAAAAGACTTAATGACAGACTTTCTATTTTAGAATACCCAACTACAACAGAAACCAGATAAATATAGTAAGCTACAACTAATATTTAATTTGAACATATTGGTAATGTTCCAAATGCCAACATGAATACCAGTGAGTATTCAAATTAAAAGACAATTTCACAGAAACAATAAGGGGTGATTTGATGTTTCTGGAGTCATTATACAGATATTCCATATAATGCAGAGGCATGTTTGCTCAGATAATTTTACAATTTCTATAGAAAGGATGTTTTAGACACTTGTAAATAAAAGAGAATGATGTCTCTTGTGCAAACTTTAAATTTCCATTATCCTAGTATACATGTAAGGACAAACTGTGACTGCATAGTGTAATAATGAAAACTGTTAGGTGGGTCAGTAAACAAGAATACTCCCCCTGTCTAGTCTCTAAGACTACCCTGAACAATCTTTATGTGTTTTTCATCCTGGTTATCCCATCTCAGGTATATATATTCAAAAAATGGAATCATAAATACAAAAATAGAGAAAACCTACAACCTTCACTTCTGTTCTAGAAAAGTGTCCTTTTGTCTGTAACATTTTCACATGAAAAGTTAAACATCTACACTACCTTCAGTTACTCTTCAACTACCAAAGCAATGACTTTGATTTATAGCACTGTGTTG